TTCAGCCTCGATCCACTTGGTGAAGTAATCGATCGCAACCAGCAGAAACTTGTTTTAACCTTTAGCAATGGGAAATGGTCCAAGTATATCCATTCCCCATAAAGCAAACGGCCAAGGCGAGCTGATGCTATGCAATTGTTCGGCCGATGCGTGAATGAGGTTACCATGCTTTTGGCATTGGACACATCTCTTAACGAAGTGAGCGCAATCACTTTTGAGGGTCGGCCAATAGTAACCGGCTCGTAGTACTTTAGCTACGAGGGTCCTTCCACCCGAGTGGGATCCGCAAATTCCTTCGTAGACCTCTCTTAATATATAGTCAGCTTGTTCCAGCCCGATGCATTTGAGCAATGGGGTCGAAAAGCCTCTTTTGTACAATTCTGTACCTACAACCGAGAATCGTGCAACCTGAGTGCAGAGCTTTTTAGCGGCCAAAGCATCAGCTGGTTCCTTGCCATGCAGAATGAATTCGAGTAATTCAGTCATCCAAGGTGCGTTGGTTTTCGTGGCTTCAGTTTCGGAAACTGCTAGACACTCAGTGGCATCCACGCTGGGTTGGGGCAATTCAAGGTGAAGGGTGGTTCGCAATTGACTTTGTTTACGTCCATTGCTAGCTAATCGAGCCAGTTGATCTGGTGTGTATTTGACTTGCACTTCTTCGAATTGGTTACACATACTATGGAAAAGGTGGTAATACCTTAACAGATTGGCATCTTTGACTTGGAAGTGATTGTTCACTTGCTCGATGACTATCTTGGAGTCATTCCAACAAACTAGCCTTGTAACACCAACCTTTTGCGCCAACCTAAGTCCGGCCAACAATGCCTCGTACTCGGCTTGATTGTTTGATGCTTTGAAAGCGAAGTGGAGGGATTGTTCTAGTGTTAAGCCGGTTGGTCCTTCCAGGATTATGTTGGCACCACTACCTTGGCTGTTAGACGAGCAATCTACGTGCATTGTCCAGGAATCACTTTCAAAGTGCCCCTTCGGCTACAGCTCATTAATAAAGCCCGCAGGACATTGTGACTTTATCCGGCCTCTGGGTTCGAATGAGATGTCGAATTTTGAAAGCTCGATTGACCATGCCATCATTTGGCCTGCCAATTTTGGTTTACGCAAAACCTTGGAAATTGGGCAATCTGTGCGAACGACAATCTGGTGGCCTTGAAAGTATTGCTGAAGTCTCCGCGCTGTATGGACAAGCTCAAGGGCTACCTTTTCTAGTAGCTATTATCTACCTTTAGATTCTTGAAGCGTTCGGCTGATGAAGTAGATAGGCTGCTGGGAGTCCTTCTCTTGTATTATCACAGAGCTGATTGTCTCATGAGAGACGCACATGTATACAATCATCTTCAGATGAGGGTCGGGTTTTCACATGATGGTTGGTGTGCCGAGCCGTTGCTTTAGTGTTTGAAAGGCCGTCTCACATTCATCCGGCCATACAAACTTGTTAATTTTCTACAACAAGCCCATGATTGGCTTAGCGATTTCGGCAAGACATGGAAGGAAGCGCAATAGGGCCGTGAGCCGGCCGGCCAGTCTCTAGACTTCCTTAAGAGTTTGTGGGCTTCTCATATCTATCACAACCTGGCATTTTTCCGGATTGGCTTCAATGCCTCTTGCCGATAACATGTAACCAAGAAACTTTCCACCGGCAATCCCGAAGATGCACTTTTCGGGATTTAATCTCATGTTGTGCTTGCGAAGTTGGTGGAACAACTCCTTGAGATCGATCGAGTGTGTCGTCACGGTTGCCGATTTGACAACCATGTCGTCCACGTAAACCTCCATGTTATGCCCGATTTGATTTCTGAAGATCTTATCCATGAGGCGCTGATATGTTGCTCCCACGTTTTTCAAGCCGAACGGCATCACTCTATAACAATAGTTGGCTGAATCGGTTATGAAGGCTATTTTCTCTTCGTCTTGGGGATGCATCCTAATCTGATTGTACCTCGAATAGGCATCTAAAAATGTTAGGATCTTGTGATCAGCCGCACCGTCTACTAATCGGTCAATGTTGGGCAACGAATACACGTCCTTAGGGCAGGCTTTGTTGAGGCTTGTGTAGTCAGTGCACATCCTCTATTTTCCATTCGGTTTATTAACCATAACCACATTGGCTAACCACGTGGTGTATTGTATTTCTAGAAAGAAGTTCGCCTTGAGCAACTTTGCCACTTCTTCTTCAACTACGATTTTTCTTTCGTTCCTCATCTTCCTTTTTCGCTGAGCTATCGGCCTAGCTTCCCGATAGATCGACAATTTGTGGCACATGAAATTTGGGTCGATGCCAGGCATATCCGAAGGTACCCACGCGAACAAGTCTTTGTTCGCCCGGATCACCCTGCTCAGTTCTGCCCGATCAGCTTCTGGTAAGCCAATTCCTATATAGGTGACTTGCGACGCTTGTGACCCAATTTGTAGCAGAACCTTTTCTTTCGTTGGTTCGACGTGTTCTTCATCGTTCATTCTCGGGTCAAGATCCCAGGCCGAGAAGTGTGCTTCGAAAGGTGAGGAGACTGCTACATTGTTAACTCTCCTGGATTTTGGTTGTACTTCTTCCAACCGGGTTACCCTTAAGCTAGCAAAATAGGATTCCCGAGCCGTTTTCTAATCGACGTGTATTATGACAATGCTTCCGCTTTCTGATGGGAACTTCATGGCGAGATGTGGAGTCGACACTATGGCCCCTAAAGCATTCAACGACGGTCGACCCAAGAGAATGTTGTACGATGTGTTAGCATTCACAACGATGTACTTGACCTTGACGTCTCGATGCTCTTTTTCATCGAAATAGAACCGAGTGAAGAGTTTGATATATCCCTTGGTGTTGACTCTTTCTCCGGAAAAACTGACCAACGATTTGGTGTAGGGGATCAACTCTTTTTCACTGATTCCAAACTGCTTGAACGTGTTCTAGTACAAAATATCGGTCGAGCTGCCTTGATCCACCAATGTTTTTCTGACAATACATTTATGGATTTCTACACTGATAACCATTGGGTCATCCTGCACAGGGTCAATCCCTTAGAAGTCATTGTCTGAGAAAGTGATGTTGGGCATCCGTCTAACCGACCGTACTTCAACTGAATGAACCGACCGAACCGCTCCTAAGGTGC